TCTCTCTCACACACACACACACACACACACACACACACACACACACACACACACACACAACCTACAGTCTGGCACAGTCATGACTTTTTTGAGTGAATAGCGAATATGACAACACACAAGCCCGGGTGGCACATCTCCTAGCCTCCCAGGGCCAGGGGAACAGCCTCTACTGCCAGCAACGACCAGAAGGGCATACCTACGAGATGTACGGTACCGGTAGGGGCATATGGAAAATTCTTGTGCCTGTACTGAACGGCTATCCGGTAGGGGCAAACTGGAAATTTGGTGCGGGTACCGGTAGGGGCATATTGAAAATGTCTCAGGCCCAAATGACGCGAGTTTTTTTTTGGAAACTTGAATGACTGTCAGAGGGGCAAATCAGGGTAAGCCGGCCGTCAGAGGGGTAAATCACAAATAAACGCAAACTTCAGGGGCATTTCGAAAATTTTCCCAAAAATAAAAATAAAAATTCCACTTTTAGTGCACCCGCCCCGGCCACCGGCCGGTTCGTGAAAGGAAAACGGGATCCTATATGACCTGTGATCCCAGGACTTTTTCGAGGGAAGCGGCGTGTTTTTGTGGGCAGGTGTGCAGGGTCCAATTTCGGGGTGTTGGTGTCCGTTTTGATGCAGAGACTGTGGTCGGACATTCCAGGACTTCCGTTAGGACCAAGGGAAAGGGCGTCGTTAGACACTCCTCGGGGATGTGATTCCAAGGATTTCGTCTTCGTTCCACCTGTCCTCGGAGATGAAATCGGAAATGAAAATGTGAAAACACTCCGAGGACAAATTCTTGGGCTCCGAGGATTTCCCAGCCAAATCGTCCTCGGATCCAAAGGATCTCGCGAGGTCCTTTGGGGCCCGAGGATCCGTGTTTCACGGAGAGGAGAGGGCATGGACGTAGAGAGATGTTACAACAGAGAATTCGGATCGTGGCGGCACCCGATTGGCTGAAAGCCTGAAGCACAACTTTTTTTCTTTTTTTTTTCCCTTTTATTTTTCTGACATTGCTCAGAGGATGAGTCCTAAAACCGATGCTCCAAGGATAAGTGTAACGAAGATGACAAAAACCCTAAACTTTTCCAAGGATCCATCCTCGGAGCCCGAGCATGGCCCCAGGAGTGTCTAACGACGCCCAAAAAGAGACAAAAAAAAAATTCCCCCTTCTTTTTTGGGTACAAAGTACGGGGTTGACCTCTTCTGAAATAGAAAGAACTACCGCCCCCTGCAATCATGCTCGCGCGTCCACGTACGAGAATGCTCGTGCGCACGAGAACGCTTCCACATCCGCGACATTCTGGGATGGGATAGTAGTTTCGTGGAAAGAAGTGGGATCCCAAATTTTGCCTGAAAGTGCCCTGCTTATAAGAAGAGGGATCTGGCCCCAAGTCTCCTTTCAGTGTGAGGAGACATAACTCCCCCTGGGATCATTTTCGAAATTGATTCCCCTCAATTTCGGAGGGATTAGCAGGGCTATTTCTCTCTAAGGGCCACATCCCACTAGCCCCTATTGTTCATTTTTTTACCCTCGATTAGGAAGATCAACGATTTGGCCCTAAGTATGCTTTCAATTGCTTTGCTCTTTCTATTCTTCCATGACCCCTTCCCACCCGCCCCCTATTTTTTCCCACGGACGACGTACTCACGCTGGGACGTTCCTCGACGGATATCACCGCTTATCCGACCATCCGTGGATGCACGGGACTGGAATTGTGTCCACATTGAAGTGCAAGAAGTTCAAGTGTGAGCATGCCCTGAGTGTCTGTTCTGTTTGCAACGCTGGTGGGGACATTTCCCCCATGCGTTCCGTCTGCTACTCAACAACCATCCCCCCTTC